TGAGTCGGTGGAAAGCAGAGCCATTTCCATGGAAGTGACAGTATTCTGCCACCAGCACTCCTTGGTGACACTATTCTGGGAAAGAGTAAGAAAGAACTCTGTATTTTCTGCACTATTTTTCTGTAAACCTAAAACATAAAGCCTGTTTTTTAATGAAACTTTAGGGGGGGGGGGGGGGGGGGAGAAATCAGCCAACTATGTATGGTTCATGAGCTGGCTAGCCACTTACTGTAAATAAAGTTTTCTGGAACCAGAGCCAAGATTAATGTACAGTAAGGGAGGGTTAAGCAAGTAATGGACAGAAATTCTACCTTAAAAAATATTGCTATTTTGCTCATCATAGATTTTTTTCACAATGATTTTTAAGTATTTTAATTTATTTTCATTTTTTAAAAATTAAAAATTTCTCCTTAGAGGAAAGAAACTTTTAAAGCTCGGTCTCACATTCTTTGGGCATGTTGTCAGCAGGGACCAGTCCTTGGAGAAGGACATTGTGTTTGGAAGGGTGGAGGGACAGCACAGGAGTGGGAGTGAGACTGTGAATGAGATGGGTTGACATAGTAAATGGGCTAATGGGGTAAGTGTGTTTGGAGGCAGTGAGACTGGTTTCAGATAGAGAAGCGTTTAGAGCTGTTGTGCATAGGATTGCTATGAGTTGCATCAACTTGATGGCACTTAACAACCTAAAAATAACAATGTACATGAAAAAAAAAGAATGCTAATGATTGTCTAAAACACAAGGTAGATGAGTGAAACACAATATATATTGATAATTGTTTGTAGAAAACATTAAAATACCAAAAAATAAAAAAAATTAAAACCAATTTTTTAAAAGCTGACATTTTTCTGAGACTAAGTAAACTCTCGAAGTCATGGTCCAGTCTGAACTTACTCACAGTTGACCCTCTGCTGATTTGAGCCTAAATCACACAGCAACAGTGTCCCCCCTTTCCTGCAACGGAGCTTCTGGCAGATGGGAAAGACACAGGGAGACACGGCCTTCGGATTAGGAGCCTGGTTCCCTACTCAATAGAACTCCCTACTTCAACAGAACTCCCTGTAGATTAAATAAATTGTCAAGAAAATGATGTTAAAATGTCTTAAAGCGGCTATTTCCAAACATTTGATCTCAGACACTTTTACACTCTTAAAAATTACAGAAATCCCCAAAGAATTTTTATCTGGTGGCTCAGTGCTAAGGAGCTGCACTGCAATCCCAAAAGCACATGGTTCAGATCCACCAGCTGCTCTGAGGGAGGATGGGCAATCTCCTCCCATGAGATTTACGGCCTCTGAAAGCCTGCTCTAGGGTCAGCTACGGGTTGATTCTGACTTGATGGCACACAGTCACCACTAAAGAATTTTTACTTCTGTGGACTGAAGTTACTTATACTGAAATACTAAAATTGAAAACAAAGACATTTTTAAAATATCATTTTTAATAATTTACCAGTTAGTATTTTGTTTGACTGTATAAACTCATTTTATTCATCTTCAAGAAAATGGGTTCCAAACATCCATATTGTGGTTTGTCTATTAAACATTCCTTCAAATAAAAATAATGTCCATGAAAATGCTACTCTAGCTGGTAACTGAAAGACAGAGCTGCACAAACATTTTCCCTCCTGACAATCATTTTACAGAAGCATGCAATGGGAATGCTTTCTTTATATTTCTTTTTTTGACAGAGATAAGGGATTTTTTTTAAACTCTGAGTACATGACAGTCAGGAGCTTTAGTTACCATTATTTTTATAGCATAATGCAAATTAAAATGTAGTGGAAAAGGAAAATATATTAGCATAATTAAGAAATACTTTGATCCATCAGACCTCTAAAGGGTCTTGGAGGTCCTAGAAGTCTACCTACCACACTTTGGGAACATGTCTTAAAATATAAAGTTTTAACAATCTGTCAAACTCATTATTAATAACAAAGTAAGATCCCAGTTATATGAAAAGAACTATTTGGGCTAACTTCAAAATTAGTTGTGTAAACACAAAATTCCTAAAACCAGTTTTGTGCAATCAGGAAATTAGGGAGGCCAAGGTAAAGTATGAACAAGGTATTAAAAAATCTGAATACCAAAAAATGTACCTCATGACGTAGAGACTTTGTCATTTAAGGACAACTAAATGGGGAAAGGAGGGAGGTCTGGAGATGTAGTGAATCCTAAGGCATGTGGTTTGAACGCGCCAGCTACTCCATGGGAGAAAGACGGGCAGTCAATTTCCCTGTGATTTACAGCCTCTGAAAACCCACTGGAGAATCAGCTGGAAGTTAGTCCCAACTTCATGGCACAAAACAACAAAGGGAGATGCATCATCCCACCCACACCCGCTCTCCCTTCCCTGCCTCACAGGTAATGAGGGCACTGAGGTGTGACAGCAGCAGGAAGAGTAAATCAAACAGCACAGAATATCCAAGGCTGTTTTAAGAACCTTGGATTCAGTCTGCCGGCTCTTCAAGTTGTCTTTCCTGCCACTAACCTACGTATGTCCTTGAGCTTGAGCAAGCCCTCACCTCTCAGGATAGCCCACCTCCATCTTCTTACATATAATATGTAATATTAACGTTGTGTTGTTGTCATGTGCCGTTTAGTTGGAACTCACTGCTGGCCCTCCAGCAGGTTTTCAGAGGCGGTGAACTGCATGGGAGGAGATCTGCCCATCTTTCTCCCACGAAGGAGCTGGTAGATTTGAACCACATGCCTTTGAGCCTGCAGCATAGCTTCTTACCACTATGTCACCAGAGCCCCCTATTAGGCTACCAGAGTTCCCTATAATACGATTATGCTTCCTCATATGCTTGTTGCAAAGGTTTGATGAAATGATATTTTTAAACAATGAGCCTGACATTGCCCAACAGAGTATTCACTAAATGTATCTTACTAACATAAAGAAGCATTTTTCTGTGCTGATTCACTGCCCTGTCCTCAATAACTCTTCTTGACATGTTTAAATGCCTTAGCCCAGCATCTTGCCTGTGTCAGGTGTTCAGTAATTATTACTTTCCCTCTGTTGCCAGACCAGGAAGCCTGTCTGGGCCTGTCACTTCATCCATGGTGCTTAGAGTACCATGACTCTAACAATTCACTGACGAATCTGATGATTAATGATGAAGGAATACATAAATGTGTAAAGTATCACGTATAAATGGAAATATTTTGCTCTAGTGGTAGGATTAATGTCTTTATTTTCTTGCAATTGCTTTCATTGGTGATCAAATATGCTTGAAAAACAAGAATGATCAACTATTTATCCCCTCAATAAAGAAAGAAAAAACAAAAACAAAGCCAACGATTCTGCTCTTGTGCTAACAGATCTCTGTGGTAGGTAAAATAATGGTTCCCTCAAAATGTCCACATCTTAATCCCCAGAACCTATGACATGATTAAGGGCTGTGCCATGGGGAGATTATCCTGGGTTACCTAGGTAAGCCTAACGTAATTACAAGGGTCTTTAACATTGGAAAAGGCAAGAAGAAAACATTGGTCAGAGGGAACTGTGACTGCAGAAGAAAGGCACAAAGAGGTACAAGACTGCTGGCTCTGAGGATGGAGGAAGTGGGCCAGGAGCCAGGAACGTGCTGGCATTTCAAAGCGGGAAAGGACAAGGAAAGGGATTTGGTCCCTGAAAGGACCGGAGCTCTGTGGATGTACAGCATATAGTCCAGTAAGACTGATGCTGGAATCTTGAACAGAAAAAAAAAACTGGGGGGAAAAATTTAAACAGGTTTGTCCTAGAGAGGGTGGAGCCGGGCTGCTCCTTGGAGGCAAGGGTTCTGATACTTCATCTGACATACTCTGGGCAGTCCTTGGAGAGGGACGTCATGCTTGGGAGGGTAGAGGAACAGCATAGGAGAGGAAGACCCTCGATGAGATGGATCGATTCAGTGACTGGGGTAATGGGAGTAGGTGTGTCGGAGATGGTAAGATTGGCACAGGATAGGGCAGAGCTTAGGGCTGTTGTACACAGGGTCGCTATGAGTTGCAGGCGACTCAACGGCACATAACAACAACATTGTTTAAACCACTGTGTTTGCTGTGACGTGTCACAGCAGCAAAGAGAAGACTAATATAATCCAAAAGTTTCTTTAACTATCTAATCAAACTTCCATGAGTGATAAAAGCCACCAGGGTGAAATCAACTGTTTTGGCTCCACTCAAGTTTCCCAGTTTCTCTTCTGCTTCCCATTCTTTTTTCGAAAATGTTGTTAAGAGAACACGTACATGTGTGTTGTGCTTGTGCGTGCGCACAAACACAAACATGGTCCTTTCCTTTCATCTTCAAAGTCAGCAGTACTGCCTCTCTTCCAAACTGCATTCATTTTCCTCTCAAGTTTTCTGCCTCCTTCCATTTTTAACTACCCCTGTGATTACCTTAGGCCCACTCACGTAGTTCAAGATCATAATCCCTTTGAAAAATTGTTATATATCGATGCATCAACAGAACATTTGCCAAGTCAACATTTTTCACGTGTGCAATTCAGTGACAGTAATTACATCACTCTTAGTGCGCAAATATCATCAGTATCCACTGCCAAAAGGCGCTGGCCATTAGAATGTGGTCCCCTTACAATTTGAAAACGTGCAGGGGACCCAGACTCTACACATTTAACAAATCACTCTGTACTGTTAGAGCAGATCTGTGGTTTACATTTTGAGCGCATCTCATATTTCACTCATAAGGAATTTATCACCTAGGTGCTGATTAAACATAGCTCTTAATTCCTAAGAGATAAATATATATGCACATTTTCAAAGACAGGTCAGTAAGGGTAATAGGTTGGAAATGCCCAGATGACATAAATTCTTCCATCAACAAAACTAGCTGCAGAATTAAGCCAGAAGAGCTCTCAGCCTGCTCTGTCCTAAGTGGTCAGTGCTTTGGGGCTCTGTGAGAGGTAAAACAGAATCCTAGCACCTTAGAGCTCTCCTGTGGAACTCTCTGCCTCACCCACTTAGCACGTTCCTAAACCAGGGGCTTCTGGCCTGCTCACCTGTCCCACCAGCTTCTTTATGAGGTGGTGATGTGCTGGTCCAAGGTGTGTCGTCTTCAAACTGAACCCAGTTGCTGATGGCTGAGGCCAGGTCAGGCGTGGGCTCTCCAGGGCTTCCAGGAGGGGAGGCTGCTTCAGAGATGAGGCCTATCTTTTCTGAGGAGTCATCCTGCTCCGAAGGGGACAGGTCCTGGGAGCCGCCATCCACGGCATGGTTCTCCCCAGAGGAGCTCTCGGACTGATCTGAGGAAGGTGACAGTCCTGAGAGGACCCCCGCAGTGCCTCCTGTAACAGATACCAGAGACCACCATCAGCTTGATGAAGGCCACTCTTCAGACCTGTCTTGTGGGAGCGAAAAACCACAGGATAGAGAAAGGGAACTGCAGGCCTCACCAGTACAGTGGGTGGGGGAGGAGGAAGAGCCAGGCCTCTCTCACCTTTACACTAAAAAGACTTATTTCCTCAAAATACATTAAAAAAATCATAACCTCAGCAAGCCCTAAATCATTATCTAAGCAGGCGGAGGCTCCCAGCATGTATCTAGATACTCCAGTGCTGCAGGGCCACAAATGAAAACACTTCTAGAATCTAAGCAAGAGGCACAACCGAATAGAGTGGAACAAATGAGAGACCATGGGGACTAGCAGAGACCATGCTGAACAGGAGAGTTTCTATATGGATGAAAGACGTTCAGATGCAAACCCTGAACTCCATATAGGCCAAATGCACAAAACTGTAGGCCACAGGGTCAGCCTCTATACTACTGACTGGCTGAATGTGAAAGCCACATTCTGCCCGGAGCCTTCTAGCACTTTCCTGGTGTAGAACAGATAAAGCATTGAAAAGTCTTTTTAAAAGCAATTTCGTTGTCTAAAATAAAAGAACTGTATCCTGACTGTGACATGGTCACACATATTCATATATGTCTCAAAACTTCACAACTGTGTACCCAAAAAGTGAAATGTACTGTATGAACTTAAGTCTTCTATCAAAGAACTAATATGAAACTCTTCTCTCCCATCAGTACCAAACTGGTCAGCTTATATGCAGCCAAAGTCTCTGGTCATAAAGGGAGAGCCAAACAGGCAATTTTAAATGTTCTAGTAGTCATACACACACACACACACACACACAAATAAATAGAAGCAAATATATTTTTAATTACATACAATTTTCTTTTTTAAATTTTCTATTAGTTTCTTTACAAAATTTGAATACACTGTTTTCAAGGACACATATTTTTCAATTTCCCTCACCCCCCCATCAAACTGTACAAGCCGATGATTAATCCTCCCTCCCCCGGCACATCCACATCCTTCTGCTTCCAGCCTCTCCCACTCCTCTTAGATCCTCAGACTCATTCTATAATAATGGTTTTATACAATATTTATCCTTGTGGGACTTAGTTCGTTCACTCAGCATAATGCTCTCCAGTTCCTCCCAAGTTAGATAATCATTTACAAAGTTATTGCTCCTGCGTGCTGCATAGTATTCCATTGTGTGAATGTACCAAAATTTCTCAATCCATTCATTTGTGGTTGGACATCTGGGCTGTTCCCATGTTCTTGTTATGGTGAATAATGCTGCTATGAACACTGGTATACAAATCTCCATTTGTGCCTCAGTTCTCATTTTCTCAAAATATATTCCAAGTAATGGAATAACTGAGTCATATGGAATTTCTATGTTCAGCTTTTTGAGGAAGCATCAAACTGCCTTCCAGAATCATGTTACCATTTTACTATCTCACCAACAATGTTTAAGAGTTCCCTTCTTGCCACATCCCCTCCAGCATTCATAAGAGAGAAACTGGGATCAAGCTTAGAAGCTCTAGTCCAAGGTAAAAAGAAACTGCCAAATACAACGAGAAATGCATAATCTAAAAAGGATAAAAATTTGTGCATCAAAAACTTTTCCAACAGAGTGAAAAGAAAACCTTCAGACTGGGAACAAACATTTGGTAATACCATCTCAGGCAAGAGTCTTACAATACAAGTTTATAGAATACTCCTGGGCCTTCACAAGAAAAATACTGATAAGCCCAATTACAAAATGGGCAAAAGACATGGAAGGAATTTTCACAGAGGAAGATACTCGAATGGCAAAGAGACACATGAAGAAATACTCAAAATCACTGGGAATAAGGAGATGCAAACCACAATGATGTACCATCTCACTCCAGTAACAGTGGCAAAGTTTAACAGGGCAGCAAGTAATAATTACATACACTTTAACAAAAAAATGTTTTTGTTAAAAGTATTGTAATCCTACCAAAAAACCAACATAAAAGTTATTAATAAGATAATTAATGATTTTTTAAAAAAAAATAAGTCTGAGAGTCAGTACATATTTTCCATTTCAAGCTCACCTCAATTTGGACTAGCCATATTTCAAGGGCTCACTAGCCACAGGACTAGCATACTGAATAAGGAAACTTAGCCAAGCAGAATCACAGTTTCCACGTGCTGTAACAGACCAGGGCAACAATAACAGTAGCAGGGGCAGCTGACACAATTCTGCTAGTGTCTTTGAACCCTATCCTGACCGTAATCCCTGAGTACCACTTCCTATTGCATTATCTTCAGCTTGATCAAGGAAAATTCCAAGTACTTTACATAGATTCATTCCTTTCATTCTCAGAACTGGAGAAGCAGGTCCTTAGGGACTCCTACTGTGTAGACAGGAAAGCTACTCTATATAGTTGTTGTTATGTGTCATCAAGTCAAGTGTAACTCAGAGATACTCTATCAACAAATGCTGCAGTCACTGTGTCAATCCATCTCACTGAGGGTCTTCCTCTCTTTCCCTGACCCTCCCCACCTTTCCAAGCATCTTCCTTCCCAAGGAAATAGCCTCTCCTAACAATATGCCCAAAGTCTATGAGATAAAGCTTTGTCACCTTTGCCTCCATGGAGCATTTGGGCTGCACTTTCTCCAAGACATTAGGAAAGCTATCATATAGGCAGGTTAAGTAAACAACCTACCCAAGAGCGCCTGACCTGTATGATGCAACCAGAATAAGAACCAGAGCAATGTGGCACTAGAGCTGGGAACTCTGACAGAACTAGGCTTTCAAAGTTGTGAGTATGCAAATGGCTCCTAGGAATCACAACCAAAACGGTCAAGAGTAAAGTACTTTGTAAATATGAAGCTCAGGTTCCTTGGAAAGAAAAAGCCAACAGTTTTAATGTTTCTAGGCTCTTGTTCAGGCTCCAGACTTCTAATCTGAAGAAATCAAGCATCTCAAGAAAATGACAAACTGACTCCTTTTTTTAAGGCTTTGTAACTAGATCCTACACAAAGGATGACCAACTGCAAGCCATAACAAACACGTGTACCTTTCTGCCACTCTATTCCCTTTAGGAAATTAAAGGACCTCTTACCCTCAGAAGAGACAGGAAAGGGCGGCTCCTCATTGAAGGACACCCACTCTGACTGGTGGGTGGCAATCACATGGTCCAAGGTCGTCATGCTAGGAAGGCGCTGGTCATCTTCACACAGCTAGTCTCAGGTGAACCCCAGAGTGATGTCTGGGGTGGAGGGACAGTGGACAGGGCCTTGGCACCGTCACAAGGGCTTTGCAGAGGACAGCACTTAGGACACAGGTGAACTTCCCTCTTGCCTTTAGTTAACGGGCTAAGCGGAAATCTGTTTAAAAAGAATAAAATTGAAAAAGATTACACTCATATGACAGCCAAAACACATTAAGTCTAGGGTTTTAACTTTGCCTACATGCATTTGAGATGGTTTCTAATTTCCAGTACTTCTCTCTGCTTCTGTCTTACCTTCTAGTTCTCCGACTCAAAGACTGACTTTGAGCATCTCTGGGTAAAGTCCACAACAGACTTGTAAACAATCACACAAATTTTATCAATTAGATTGCTTAACATGCTCAAATTATCTTTTTTAAAGAAACTTTTTATTTCTAATATAATGTTTTCACTACATAACAAATAAGTATACTGCAAAACTGTTCAAAGTGCTTTTACTTTCTTTTGCCAGATGGTGAGACAAAAGCATGCTCTTTTCCATTAAATCCGGGTAGTCTCTTGCCTTAGGCAGGTAGCTCTTTGCAAGCCTGATTTACGCCTCTGGCAGAAATCCAACAATTTCCAGATGGTATCTCTAAGCATGGTTAACAAAATAAAAAACTAGAAACGAAGTTATTTCAATCATTTTTAATAAGGAGGTAGGGAGTATTGGTTTTAATGAAAATCCGAGTTAAGGAAGTACAGTTTCAAAATAGACCAATTTGAATCAGTACATAAAATCTAGCCTGTACTCTCACTTCAATTATGCTAAATGTACACAGAAGGGTATTTCACTTGTTATTTTATTTAATGTGTATTTACAATTTTGAAAAAACCAAATATGATAAAATTAGCAAGGTCTGAATTAATGTGCTTTCACAAGCTTGTCAGTATTCATTCTTATGAACTGAAGGTCCAGTATTTTCTAGAAAAACATATCTCACAGTTTTTCAGTAGTGCACTATTTTTTTTTAAAGAAAAGAGAGTTCAGGAAATTTTACTATCAATTATTTAATACTTGCAATAAAGAAATCACTTCTGTTGAGAAAACCCAGAGTAAATCCATTTTTAAATGTTCAGGTCATGTGCGTTTGTGATTAAAACAATCAGTTTTGGCAAGTTCTGGTGGCCTAGTGGCAAGAAGCTGCACTGCAATCCCAGAGGCGTGCAGTTCGAATCCACCAGATGCTCTGCAGGCGGGGAGGCAATCTCTTCCCTGTACCAGTCAGATCTGATTTGATGGTACACACACACACAAAATAATAAAAACAATTAGTTTTTTTGTATGATACTTCTTAAACACAACTTAAAAAAAAACAACTAATGTTTAAGCATTATAAATATGTTTTCATAACATGCATCATTTGCTTTGGTCAATGTTCTGGTTGTCCAGGACCAGCATTACCATAATACTTTTCCAGATGAGGAAATTAGATTTAAAAGAAGTCAAATGACTTCTCTTTCATACCATTTTGGTGTTTTTCAGGACTTGTTTGGGTGTCTAACATACTTCCTTTAGGCTTCTAAGTTGAAAAATTCATACATCTCAGGAAAAAGGAATAATGAAATAGAAGCCATTCTCAGTAGGTAAAGAAAGAATTCAGCAAGGATGTGGTAGAAGTTACCCTTAAAACCATGTCTTATGTCAAAACACTTTAACCTTGAAATTACAGGCACCAAAAAAAGTATTAGAGAATATATACAAACTATTACACAACTAGGGAGATCTGGTGGCTTAGTGGTAAGAAACTATACTGCCAACACGAAGGCGCACAGCTCAAATCCACCAGCTACTCTGCAAAAGAAAAAGGGGAAATCAATTCTTGTGCAATTTACTGCCTCTGAAAACCTGCTGGAGGGTCAGCTGTGGGTCCAGTTAGAAGTCTATTGTACACAACAAAAACAATTACACAACTGAAACATTTTATAAATATAAACTACAATGGAACCTATTTTAAAGTCTTGGGAAACTCCTATGTGGATGTTTGCCAGGATATGCAAGCTGGATAGAAGGTGGAAAAACCCAGAAATCTCATCTTCAATCTCTCTCCCTGGGATCCTTAACACCACGGGGCCAGGCATGTACAGACAGGGTGCACAGCACAGTGCCCATAAACCCAGTCCTAAGAGAGCATGGTGTGGAACCCACAAGAGTAGTTCCTCCTGGCCTCAGTCCACCAAGCCCTTCTCAAACCCCATCAGATGTCAGTGTCATTGCTGGCAGCCAAAAGCAGACAATAAAGCTGAGGAGTCAGATTCTTCCTCTCACCACAACACCACAAAACCTGGCAAAGGAAAGGCACGTGAGTCCACGTGCTGGCACACACAGCATCACAACACAATGAGGGAAACAGCCCTCCCTCAGGTCCCGTGATGATGAACTCAGCAGCCAAAGTCCCAGATGAGTGGAGGAAGGATGCAGGGATGAGAGACAGGAAGAAGGAAAGGGGTCGGGGGAGTGAGTGCATCACCTTTCGGTCATAACCTCCAGTTATGGAGCTGATGGTCTGAAAAGCCAAGAGGCCACATTCAGAGTTTTATAAACAGGGAAAGTAAAGCCCAAGGAAATCAAGTGGAGCAAAAGAGTTGAGAGCATGAGCCCAGGTTTAGACTGTCTCGACTGAAGCTCAGGATTTAACCTCTGTAAGCCTCACTTTGCTCTGTTTGGCAAGGGTAGTAACAAAGTCCAATTCATAATTCTAAGTCTTATAGGAGCTAAAGCACATGAAGGGTTGGCTTTGGGCATTACAATGACAATGCTGTGATGACAGTCAAACCTATAGCAGGTTTCCTATGAGAGGTGCCCCATCTCCAATCCTCAAAGAATGTCAGCTAGAGCCATCGCTCCTGTCCCTAAATGACTTGGGCAAGGTTTGCTGTTGTTAGCTGTGTGCTGTGGGGGCAGAAGGGACAGCAGCTGATTCTCCAGAATGTTTTCAGGGGCATTTAATTGCACGGAAGAAAACTGCCCATCCTTCCCCCGCAGAAGAACCACTATTCGATCACGTCCTGGGCGAGGTCACAAAGGTAATTAGTGGAAGTCCTGAAATCTCAGTGTGAATTTCATGAAACCACCCATTTCTCTGTTAGTACGTTCTGGTTTTAGAAGTTGTTTGTTTGGTTGTGGTTTTTTTTGGGTTTTTTCCTTTTCTTTTCAGTAGTTTTTAGAGCAGTTCTCCTACATGCTAAGTGAGGCCATTTCCATAAAGGCCAATCCTGCAACCTCGTCTTTACAGATCCGGGCACAGGCTGGCTGACAACCAAGACCATTACTAAGAGAACATGAATAAAACAAGAGCCCCTTGGCTGTCCCGGATCCAGACGTCTCCTGGTTACAGATAATGATAATCTCTAGGAAGACTTGTGGAACAGATTTATTACAGGGAACCACCTAGCAGAACACTGTGAGATGGATTCAGGGATTTGCCAAGAAAGAACCGCATCCAATAAGTCATAAGACGCTACAGCTTGAGGCGGCTGTGCCAACAGCTGGAAATCCACAGAGGAGCGCCGTAATTGTGAGGCTAAACTCCTGGATTTCTTGGTAAAAACCTCGCCCCATTTTTAGAATGTGAATCACAAACTGAAGCTGAGCACGACCACAGATGAGCAGTGACTCAGTGTTATCAACAGCCCTGACCAACAGATGCTGAAGGAGTCACTGACGTCTCTGGGCTACCATTTCAGAGAAGGAACTCTTACACATCTTATACACTAAGATTAGCAGGTAGAGAATGCAGACAGGGAGCTCTACACAGGGTGGCCTAGTGGGTAAGGAACTGTACTGTTAACCCAAAGGCACGTGGTTCAAATCCCCCAGCTGCTCCAGGGGAGAAAGATGGGTAATCTCCTCTCAGATGACTTACCACCTCTGAAAATCCGCTGGAGGGTCAGACTCAACAGCAATGAGTTTAACAAGATGAACGTCACAGAAATAGAACTAGAACAGAAATTGTTGTTGTTGTTATGTGCCATCGAGTTGCTTGCGACTCATAGCGACTCTATGTACAAGAGCTCTAAATGCGTTCTATCCTGTGCCAACCTAGCCATCTCAAACACACTTACTCCCACCACTCCAGTCACAAAATCGATCCATCTCACCAAAGGTCTTCCTCTCCTTCGCCGCCCCTCCACTCTGCCAAACATGATGTCCCTCTCCAAGGACCAGTCCCTCCTTGCAACTTGCCCAAAATATGTTAGACGAAGCTTCAGAATCCTTGACTCCAGGGAGCATTCTGGCTTCACCCTCTCCAGGACAAACCTGTCTGTTCTCCTAGCAGTCCATGGTATAGTCAACACTCTTCTCCAGCACCACAGCTCAAAGGCATCAATCCTCTTTCTATCAACCCTAATCACTGTCCAACTCTCTGATGCATAGCATATAATTGTGAAGACTATAGCCCGGATCAGGTGCACCTTAGTCTCCAGCCTGACATCGTTGCTCTTCAGTACTCTTGGAGGTCCCTCACAGCTGACTTTCCTAATGCAATTCATCTCCTGATTACGAACAGGATTATGTCACACAGAACAGAACTGTGTCAATGCTCAAACACTGTTGTCAGGTGTCATCAAAGCAACAATTCATGTGACCCTATGAACACAAGATCAAAGCCCTGCCCTATCCTGTGCCATTCTTACAATCTCCACCACGCTCAAGTTCATTGCTGCAGTGATCGAAGGTCCTTCTCTCCTTTACTGACCCGCTACTTTTCCAAGCATGATTATCTTTTTCCTTTAAAGACTAGGACCTCCTGAAAACATGCCCAGAGCACACAAGACCAAATGTCATCATTCCTGTCTCTAATCCTCTAACAGGCATCTATAAAAGTAACAGGCATCCTCTAAAGTAATGACCTTCAAGCAGCTTACAATGTAGCTGGGGAGACAAGGATACATGAAACAACAGACAGCAAAACAAGTCCAAGATAACCAGCCGCTGAAGGACACCACAGACCCTGAGAC